TTAGCAAGATTCATATTAATTAATGCCATTGATTTAAGTAAATATGATTCAATGACCAGTAAGTAAGGTTTTGATTCGACTTCTTTTAAACATTCTCCATAATATTCTAATGTACCTTTATCATGTATCCAAATATCGTTGATTGCATTAAATGATTTTATACATAATCTAAATATTAAATAAAATACAATATTTGACAATTATATACAGTAAAACATTACTTACTGTTTATTTTTTGATATTGAAACTAAATGTATTAGTATAGCTTGAAGTTGAATAAGCTGTTTCAATTCAATTGCATGTGAAGTGTTATAATCTTTGAATGCTACTTTGAAAATAATGTTTATAACTTGCAACATAAAGAAAGCTGATTTTGCCAAATTATTCCTATAAGATAATCAATACTTAAAATAGAGTCTATAATTAATCATTAAAATTAATTATTTACTGTTTTAAGTTACTTAAAATTGATCTCACTAAATTTAATAAAAACTTACCTTGCTATTTTGAGGAGTTATCATCATTGATGAATAACAACCCTTATATTGTGTAAATGATAATCTTATATTAGACATTTAAATTACATAATACTTACGATATATTTAAATGAGGAAATGTATTGACATAATCAGCTAATATCGGAGTAAAATTTATTAGACATGCTTCTGGTTTTGAAACCATCAGTACTTTGACAAAATCTTTGACATATGCCTGTGATTTTAGGTCTTGATAACGACTAAAAACAATTGGAAAAACATCACCAATACTATTCAATACCTCATTAGAAATATCTGAAATTGTGTATAATTAATTTAATTTGAACAAATAATAACTGCAGCGTTTGTGTGTGATTACGACAACTACAAGTCCCACACATAACAATATTAATATTAATATATTTACTAGATTTAACAGCATTTGTAACATTTTTAAAAACAAGTTTTCGTTCTTTAATGCTGGATGACAAGACTTTCAAATGAAAGTCCGAAAATTGTTTAGTATTCTATAAAACAAATATTATAAAATTATAATATATATTTTCACACATAATTCTCAATCAATTATAAACTTACTCCTTTCTGATCAGACATGGTAGAATTGTGTCAACTTGAAATTTAAATTTAAATTACAAATAACATGTTAACTTTCGATTCGTAATTCGCATATGACAAGTAAACGAAAGATATTAAGCCGAATACAACTGTCGACAGCATTCGGCTGATGTGCGTTTTCATGGTTATGAACTTCGGTGTGAAATTCAAAATGATAAAACACCGATTATTCAGAACATAGTAACGGTTGTGATAACATCGAAACGGCGTAGTGAGCACATTTAACGGATTAAGATAGTATCTATTACTAAAAAATATAAAAATAAGAATAAAATATATATTTATCTGTGATAAAGTTTTATATTATTATAGATATTATTTATGTCTATGAATTGTAATATTTAGAGATGGAGAATTTACCCAAAAAAAAATATCGGTTAACGTACAGGTAAATTTAACGGTAAATTTACCAATAATGTGGTAAAAATGGTAAAATAGTTACATCTTGGAGCCATTGTTATTTTTAACTATTATAAATTAGTAAATACGATTTGTATTAGATACTAATGTCGTATATCTACTTGTTAAATCAAGTTCTTTCTAATAATAACAATAATCAACAAAAAATTAAAAAAATTAATCGAAAATATCTATTGTTCTGTATTAGACATTAATAATTAGGAAGTACATTTTATGAAATACTAATATTTAATTATTGATATTACAATTAATAAATAATTTAAATTCAACTAAACTATCAAAATTTGCATAGCCTTTATTTCTTTTTAAGTCAAAACATTTATATTTAGACATAACTTTGGTATTAATAATTGTATAATATTATCAATGTCACATAATCTGCCTTTTTGGTATATCGTATATGCCTATAAAAATGTTTCCTAATTACCTACTGATATTTAATGTTCTAACTCCTAATATAATATAGTAAGGGTGGCAGAATTTTGATACTTTAACAAAATATATAAACAGTAACAAGTACCTATATCAATATTAAAAATGACAATAACACAGTAAGTTTCTTTTTCGATTTACCTACTTTGGTCCAACCTAGATACTTAACCTAGCTGCTTATTATAATAAAAAACAAAACAAATAATAATTATTTTATACCTTAATAAAACAAATATTCAGTATAGGCGTTTTTGATTTAATTTGATTAGAGGGGCCACATAACATTTGTTTTGGTAAAAAATAATTTACCAGTAAAAAAAAAATTGGTAAAATTTACGGTAAATTTTTTAAGTTACTTATGTTACACTAAATTAAAAGTTATAAATTATAATAAATGGATTTGGGAAAACCAATTTCCAGTTATAAATTATTAGAATTTTTTGTTCATCATTAACCCAAAGTAGGTACTTTTTTACCTACGTTAGCCGTGAGGTACCAAAATTTCAATAATATATATTATATAGGTACTATATACATTTAAAATACGAGTACCTATACATGTTAATATGTTACCTACTTGAGATTAAAAATTTTGTAAAAACAAAATTCCTATTTCAAATATATGTGGCATTTAAACATTATTTTTTTTAAAAATATAAAATATTTAGTAACAGAATCACTCTTACTGTTTCTTATAAAAGATTTAATCTTCTTTAATTAGCACATATCATATATATGATGTGGTTCTTAGCCTTTTGTAGAACACGGACCCCCGATGATAGATTTTTGGAAATTGCGGAACCTCTACCAATTTTTTGTCAAATACCTTTTTTTTACAAAACATCTCATGTTATCATAACCAAAATTTTAATAACTATTTTACATTTCAAATTATAGAAGTAGACATAACAAAATATACACATTTATATTTATTTTTATTAAAGTTATAAACTTTTATTCATTCTTCTCAACAACTGTTCTTTAAATGTCCTGATAAACCATCAATTAATTTTGTTATTGTATCATTTAAGCTATTTGCAGCTTCTTCGCCAATCATTGCAGAAACCACTGCAGCTTTCGCAGCAGGAAATATCAAATCTAATACCTAATAAGTAATAAGTAAAGAAAATGCTAAAGATGCTTTTACGGAGCTTTTATTTGTACAATCAGTTGCAGTTCTTTTGATAAATTTGATGTTTTTTCTTAATTCTTATTCTTTATTTTTAAAAAAATCAAAAATATTGTAATAATGGCTAATGCACTCATGTCGCATGTTGACTAATGTTAGGTGTAAAAGCTGCCGCGGACCGGGACATGAGTAAATAACTATACCTATAATGAATAAATACCCACTTAAAATTAACAAAATGTCTTAAAAATTAAAATGAATACTCAAAAAGGCCAAAACTGAAAAAAATGTAAAATAAAAGTGTACGTTTTCAATTATGTGATGTATGAAACGGATTTTGAAATTGAAAAGCATGGCCTAGGGGCTAGGACTTCCCAAAAATAATGTATTTTGCAGTAAAATCCTGGCTTTAGTTATAGCCGTTATAGGTATTTAAAGTTTAGTTGGACCGAATGCATTATGTTAGTTCTCTATCAAGTTCTTCTTAATAGAAGATGTTCTAAAAACTCATCATCAATAATAATATTAAACCAGGTAGTCCAGGTGGAATATTTTGTAACAGCAAGATATCATTAATAGCACCAGCACAATGTGAAATTGCACCGAGGAATTATACGCGTGTGTATTATTCACATAGATTTCAAGCAGATGAAATTCAAATTTTTTGCATTAAAAAAAGGTGCTGTAGCGGCACCTCTCTTGGTCAACCTGTACACATCATACTAACCCACCACCATCCTTACCACCACCGGTGACTTCGCTGACGATGAAGCCATCCTGGCCCTCCACCATGACCCTCTCGAGGCATCCAACAGAATCCAAACTTACCTCGACATACTCTCGACATGGTACCTACAAAGAATGGGGATTCAAACTCAACGATTTCAAATCTATCCACTGCACATTCTCTCTCGGACCAATAATTTGTCCCTCTACCACACTAAACAACCAACCTCTCCCTACCGCTCAAAATGTGGTTTTATAGTATATAAAACTAGGTTTATAGTATAAACTTTATAGTAGAATCGCCGGCTGACATGAGCTACCCACATACGTAACAAACGACTAGTACTCAATAATCGTCAAAGACAGCTTCGCCTCCTCTCTTCCAAACACGTCTCACTACATGATAAAATCTTTACGTATAAGGTACTCCTCAAACCTATCTGGTCCTATCGTATCCAGCTCTGGGGATCAGCCAAAGACTCCAACATAAACCGAATCCAAACTTTTCAATCTAAATGCTTCCGGCAGATAACCAAAGCTCTCTTCTATGTGTCGAATGACACCCTCCACAGGGACCTCTTCACTCCAACAGTAAAAAACGTCGCCAAAACTCAATACTAACATTTCCACCTCAAAATTGCAAATCACCGAAACCTTCTCATCCAAAACCTCACCTCCCGAACAATCCCGGGCGACGTTTAAAGCGTAAATGGTTTCGTGATCTACTAGTGGACTATAGTTAATTAGTCCTCTAATCACAACTATCTCGCTATGAAGTGCTATTACTGAATAGCTTCTTCAACCAAGCCATTAAATGACCAATTATGTAACGATCCGTTGTGTTTATTGTAAATTTCTGTAATAGATTGTACAAATTAATAAATATGTTAAAAAAAAATTGGGTTTTTCCAAAATTTTCTTTCGTAAAAACATTTCCTTGGCAATAACAAACAGCTGGAAAAAAAATTGGGCCGAATCGGTACAACGATTCTCAATCGATGAATTACTATACATTTGCCACACCATTTTTATTCATATAGATATCTATTCTGTGACACAACAAGTATAATATACCAAAATATTATCATGCTACCAATGCTACCACAGCTGCTTTAGAAGGCTACAAACAAAACATCGTGATAAACAGTAATACCTATAGTATCACAGGACACAGATATGGATTAATATTATGCACAGATGCAGATACCATAAATAGTATTTGTTTAATTATCTATATATATGTGATAGTATTAGTCTATGGTATTATAGTATTTAAAAAACGATCTGATAAATCGTGTGCCGAATGCAGTTTTTTTGAAGTTTAATGGTTGTCAAATGTCAAATGTCAATACTCAATAGTGTTATCTAATATCCATGCTTGTGCCTTGTACTCTTGAATCAAGAATTGTTTATTGTATCTCTACTATCCATTTCGTCCTTGTGAGTTACCTACTCATGGACTTTAAAGATTGAACATTTTCGGTGTTCGTTGGTTCGTCCATGTCCTGCTTTCAAACAATTGTTTTGGCACTTAGTTGTGTATGCATCATTTTTGAAACCGATTTCGTTTCTTCGCCTATTCTCGTCGGAGGCTCAGATAAATTGTACACTTAACAATTATTTTATGCGCTGAATTCTATCGTCAAACAAGTTCTCAACAATTATGCCTCTTAAGTATAAAAACTATGACGTATGCGCCGATTGCAGTGCTCCAGGTATTTAATGAAAATATTAAACATATATTCAGGGAAGAGTTAATTGGTTTTTTTATGTTTTAAAAATACCATAGTACAAATGACCACTGAACATAAGTTATAATTTTAAATTGACAAAACATGGGTTTTTTACTTAGGTTTTTCCCTGGGTTTTACATTTGTGTTTTGTACCAAGAATACTGGTTGATAGATGATGAATAATGATGAAAACTATTCAATCTATCTTTTAAAGTTATATACAATTCTTACTAGAATTTAGGTAAAAAATAACTTCTGAACAGTGCTCAAATTGGGAATTATTAAGTGGAGGAGCTCAATCCAACAATTTAAAAACTACGTTCCAAGTGCAAAATTAATTAATACAGATATTAGTGATTATGTCTTAATTTGTGGTTCAGATGCATATATCAATTGTTGACACTAGCCCACCGATATATAATAATACAATAGTTTATTTATGTCTAGATTCAGATTGGATAGTTGTAAATCGTGGATTGTACGTTTGTGATGAATGTTGTAGTATTCATCGCAGTCTTGGGCGACACATATCACAAATTAAAAGTTTAAGTGCCGACTGGTGTCCAACAACATTAAATGTAAGCACTTCATAAATATTATATTATATAAAGAATTTTGTTGTATTAATTGATAAAATATTCTACATAATATATTTTTGTTTAGATGGTGAGAACTTTACATCAAGCTAATGTTAATACACTTTGGGAACATGCTTTAAGTGATAATAAGAATCACAGAAAAAAACCTACTCCCAAGGATCCACTGTAAATTAAATATTTTTATGATTTTTTTCTATTCTTAATTACTTATTAAAAAAATATTTTAGACCTTTAAAAGAAGATTTTATTCGTGCTAAACATAGACAACAAGTGTTTATATTAAAAAGTAGTGACACTAGAGAAGATTTAAATCAACAATTACATTCTAGTGTTAGAACATCAAATTTAGAAACAAGCCTAAGAATTTTAGCTCAAGGAGCTGATTCTAATTATTATCATCCTGTAAGTAAACATATTATTAATCATCTTAAAAATATTTTATTTCTCTAATAAATTTAGGAAAAAGGAAATTATCCATTACATGTGGCAGCCAAAGCAGGTCAAATATTACAGGCTGAATTGCTACTTACTTATGGAGCTGATCCATGTGCTATTGATAGCAAAGGAAACACTCCAGCAACATGTGCCAAGTAATTAATTTGAACCTTTTTTTTTTACATCTTAAAACATTACATTAAAACATCATACCTGATTTTTTAGGCTATCTGGTCATAAAGATATTAATGAAAGACTAAATGATAGCATGTATGAAGTATTAGATGTTCTCTCAATGTATGTATTTGGACGTAAAGCAGAGCATAAAAATGGAGTGCATATGATACCTTTTGATCCAAATGATGAATGTGTGAAACAAGAAAGTGATCAACAAGGAGCTATAAAAAAGATGCAACAGGTAAATTTAATAAATATTATATTTTATTGTTGGCTTATTAATCTAAAAATATTTTTTTTGTAGTTACCAAATTACTTATTTGAAGATTTGGTGTTGGATGTGTTTGATGAAATTGATAGAAGAGAAACTGAAAAAAGTAATTAATACATATAAATAATTATTTTCTATATTTTAATAATAAAATATATCATGGTTTTATATAAAGTTTGGCAACATAAAAATTCGCAAGCTCATATTATGTCAGTACCATTTTTACCGGTTAATCCAGATTTATCATCAATGAAAAATCAAGGCCGTCAAAAATTAGCTTGTTATGGACCAAAAGAATTCAAAAATCTTGTTACACAAATTTTAATTGAAATAAACAGAAGGACTCAACCAGGTAAGCTAATTTAAAATAAAATAGTTACAGTTTAAAAAAACTTTGAATTTTAGTGAATAAAGTTATTTCAAAATTAAAATATGATGACGATGAACCGCTTTATGATCATGTTGCTTCTGATGAAGACTATGCAACACCTGAACAAATTACTGCGATGGTAATTTTTGTTGATGTAATATTTACCAATCTTAAATAATTACTTAAGGGTTTATTTTTAACCATTTGTTTCAAAGATGACAGTGCACATTAAACCTCCTACCAATATAAAGGGTAAAGAGAATAGTCTTCAAGTAGAAAAAAATGTGACTGAAGAAACTGTAGATTCAAACAAAATGAGTATGAATTATACACTATCTAATTTGCCATTGTATAATGGTAAGGACTTCGAAACAAAATTATCAGAGTCTGAAGCCAAAATTTCAAAATTGATTTCTGAAATTGATTTACTGAAAAAAAAAGTTAGTTTAATTAATATATAAAATAATAAAAGATTTTATTATGTAATTGTTTATAAGGTAGAAGAAATTACTAAAGAAAATGTAGAACTGAAATGTGAAATGTTACGGCAAAAACAACCAGCTATGGTGATAAATGAAAATGAGTGTGGTGATGTTAAACAACCTATTAGACCTGTATCAATGTATGAAACTCGGGAAGGAATAAAATGTGATATGATTCAACGTAAACATGTAAGAAATTATTCAATTCAAGCACTATAAAGGGTATAATGTTTCAAAACTGGTGAGGATTAAGGTCTTATGCAATCCTTCCTAGTTCTGTAACATAACATTTGGATAGTGATGGATTAAACCATAATTACTAAAATACTCTAAGTCTCCAAAGTTATATAGATACTTATTTCAAAACAAAATCTTTGTATAAGTGTGTAACGGATTAGGTACTTGCTAAACTTATGTTTCTTAATATTTCACAAAATCTTTTAGACAGGTAATTTACCATTGTATGAAGATGTTGTTCGTCATACCGCTCAAGTAACTAAGGGTATACAAGAATTATGGACTAACATAAGGTCATCAGAAGCTTGTAAAGCATTTGTTCCTGGCACTGAAAAAATTAGAACTGCTGTAGTTGAACTTACTGCCATATTTCCACATGTAAGCATACAATATTTACTTCATAATTATCACTGTTGCAGTGTTAACCCCTGAATATAGATAGAACAATAAAGAATTTAACTTTTAAGTAATGTTAAAGTTGGTCATATTAGAATTGAATATTTTTGATAATTGCATGTATTTATTCCATTTTAAAAAATATAAATCAAATTTTAAAGTTAACTATAGTGAACTGAGACAAAAAAATGTCTATAAAATCCTAATTGTTTTGATTACTGACAAATGTATAAAATTTAATTTGAAATTTATATTTAGAGTATTAATGATGATGTTCTAAAATCGGCATTATGGTCATTGAATACAAATACAACTCAACTACAACTTGAATGTGCGTGTTTGGAAGCTGGTGTTGAAAGAGTGCGGGATTGCTCATTCAATATTGCAAAAGCTACTAAACAGCTTTTGACAAGGTTTTGAATATAATCAATGATAATGGACTAATAAATATTTTTAAAGTATATAATTATATTTTTAAATTTAAAACTTTTCCTAAGTTCCTTATTATTATTTTTGATAATAAAATACACATACAGGGTATATTTGTATTATAATTTAAGTTTGATTCAATAGAATTTATATCCAGATATTCTATAATATTGAGCTATTATTAACTTTGTTTATTAGACTAGTATTTTATTGTAAACTTGGCACCTAATATCACTAATAATCTATTATATTGTATTCACAATGCATTTATCGTTTACCATAATGTTAATTTAAAGTATAGGTATTTATCTTTGCATTTCAGTAAATATTAATTTTTGTATTTAAAATTATTTATGATGTTTTAACAAAAATCAAAAGTTTATATTTACCTACATTGTTAGATTTATATTTTAATATATTAAACTATAGTTAAATTGTGTCTAATCATACACTTTTATTCCACTGTTATAACAAAAAGGAAGCTAGATTTGATAATTTATCAGTATGACTACCTTAACAAATAATTTTTTTACTTGATTAACTACTTAAACTTGATATAGTGTTTAGGGGTTAATATGCTACTCAAGCTACACTATTTTCAATTCAACAACTCTGATTACTATCTAATAAGTAAATTAACTCTTGAAAAAATAAAAACAACATATTGGTGATGATGCTGACTTTGTCATCCAAGAAAATGTTTTATATTTTTTAGTGTATGATGCTTAGTGTAAAAACAAAACTATACTGTGAGTCATACGTTGCAATAGTTTTTGGTATGGGCAATCATGTAACTTGTTAACTATTTTGTAAGATAAGCTGAGAATTCATCCAGATTTCTATTCAAATAAATTTCAACATAGACAACCTGAAGCAAAGATGGAAACTTGTGGTCGAATAACAGAATCTGCTCATAACACATTTTTTTCGGGAATAACAGTTTTCAATTTTTCACTGTGTCTTAAATAAAATATATTAAAAAAAGGAATATGATGATTATATAGGTCATATATCTATTAACTAAAATAGCATAATATTGATAGTTAATTGGTCTATGATATAGGTAGCCTCCAGCTGGTAGGTACAGGTACCGACGTGCCATATACATATATTTGAATTAAAAAAGCAGGTAAGTGGATGTCGCTCTGCTGTACATTAGGAGGTGCCTAGGAGGTCGCTGAAATGTATGGTATTAAATTTGAATTTAATGATGTCATTGTATACAAAAAACAATTCTAAGGGGAGATGGTGTGTCAGTCAAGGATATTTTATATTGTTCTCTCTTCTTTTGGGTTGATCGTCCTCTTGGACCATCCCGTCTCACAACCAATTCTGCAGCCATCTCTATTCATCTCAAAATCTTTCTAGTTTGCTCTGCGTCCTAAGTCTTCTACATCCCTCTTAACTATATCTGCCCATCTCAACTTTGGTCTTTCACCAAGAGCCTTTTCCCTACTTGATTCTGTTTCAGCACTATTCTTAGAGAATTCTAGCTTCGCATTGCATGTCCTGCCCATCGCAACCTTCTCTTCTTGATCGTGTCTGCTAATTACTACGTTATTTTTCATATTTTCATACAAATTTCTTGTAGCCATTTTATATTGTTATTGCTTATTATTAATATGGTAGCCAATAAGGTATTATTTTTTTGATAAAGGTAGACAGAATTACAATGAATCTTGCAATACATTTTTAAATCTTAGATAAAAAAAGAAAACATTTTGTGAATTTCTAAATAAATATAATTTTCTAATTTTTTATGAATTTTGTCAAAATTTTAAGTTTAAACGCTCATAAAAAATTATTATGGATTTAAGCTCAACTTTTTTTAAAATTTCCATTAACAACAACTTACGAGGAACCTTGTATTACATTTACAAGTTTTTTGACAAAGGGAACATTTTTTTATATACTAGTTAAAAAAAACAAATTATAATCGAAAATTTCATATGCCTATAAATAGTTCAACACAAGTCAAAATATTTTTTAAATGCTAATACCTAGATAAGTACTCAAAATGTTTACTAAACGTTTATTATTGCATTGCCTATATACCTCAAATAACACGTTGAACTATTTAAAGGCACTTGAAATTTTTTATTTTTATTTTGTTCCTCTTTTAAAATTAATGTCGATAAAAAAATTTTAACTAGGTCAAAACACTTTTAACACAGGGTTCCTCAAAAGTTGTTGTAAGTACTAAGTGGAGATTGAAAATAATATGGGCGTAAATCCACAATAATTTTTATGAATGTCTAAAGTAAGAATTTTGACAATATTTATATATTCATACAAATCAATAAAATTTGCTAAATATTTTGGGTTAGAAATTCCTTTAACATGTTCTTCTATGGTTAATCGGGTTTAATGCCCCACCCAAACAAAAACACAATAAAATTCGGTGACGTATCACAAGGATCCCCTGTGGTAACCCTGCTGTTTAAATCAAAAACAACCCTCGGTTTGTTTTTTTAGTTATCCCGATTGACGGGTTGTGTCATTTGGAACATGAGAATCTAGGTGACAACCACAACATAGAGTAGTAGTACTCACAAGAAGTCAGTCAACCCATAAATTAGAGCTTAGATCATATACTATAATAGTATAATGTGATCTAAGGATTACATTATATATAATAATAATGTCGGGTTGCATGAAAAAATTATTAATTTAATGGACCAATCATGGGCCGCTAAACCATGTTAAAGGGATCATTAGCTCACTATAATTGATTCGTTAATTGTTTAGTGATTGTTCATGCATATAGCCCACGGACTAAGATAATATAATGGACTGGAAACGACAAGGTGGGCGGGTGACAGGGGACCAAGGTTTATAGATAATACTATTATAATAATAGTATTATCTATAAACCTTGACAGGGGACGGCCCCAGTGTTGCCAGGCGTACGAACATGTTCGTTTTAATACGAACATTTCAACTAGTGTACGAACATAACATAAAACGAACGTTCGTACGGTTAAATACGAACATTTTGTGTAGATCTAAATTTGAAAAATTTTGAATTTTTTAGATAAGAATAAATACTGTGGTGAGGCCACAATACTATAGATATCAACCTGCTATCACATAAAATAGATAAAATAAATGAAAATAAAGAAATTCAATTTCTATTCTGTGATACAGTATTTGATAAGAATTAAGAATTTAATAAGAACCCGATACGGGCCACGGGCGTGACGGCCGACGGGTGAGACAAGACTATAAACTGACAATATTGTCAAGATACAAATCAATGTCAATATTGTTGATATTTCTATTTTTTGACATTAACGTCAAAACTCAGAATTTCCAAATTATAAAAATTATTAATAATTAATAATTTAATACAGTGCACTAACAGATCCTCTCATAAAATTAATATTTTTATTTTTAGATTGGATCTTGCCCAAATTTACATCTCTTAATTCATTTTTTCAAAGTTCTTCTGTCGTTATAACTCAGTTACATGATAAAATGGTTTCAACTTATAAAGATTTACTGTCAAGTTTTATGAAACAAGATTATATTAACAAAACTCCTATACATTTAATAAATCCTGAAAATGTTGACCAATATATCCCTAGTACACAAATGTACCTTGGTATAAAAGTATTAAAAGAAATTGAAAAACCTAATATTAATAGTAATAAAGCATTGTTAAATGACTTTTATTGGAGGGCGCAACAATTCTTAAAAATTGCATGTTTACAAATTAAAAAAAAATATGATTTTAGTAATCCTTTAATGTCAAAAATTAAGTTAATGGATCCCAAAGTTGCTACATCAAAGATAAGGGAAAACAACAGTACTATATTTCCTCTTTTAAAAGTATTACCTCGATTAACTGAATTAAATGATGAACTATTACAGAATATTGATGATCAATGGAGATTATTGAATAATTTTAAAATTCCAACTGATATTTTAAATAATTTAGAAGAACCTGATGTTTTTTGGTTTAAGCTGTCCAACTTGCAGATGGTTAATCAAGATTATCCATTTGTACATTTAGCAAATTTTGCTCTTGGTGCATTATCTCTTCCTCACTCTAATGCTGATTGTGAGCGAATTTTCAGCAAAGTAAATTTAATTAAGGTTAAAACCAGGAACCGATTAAATACAGATACAATCCAAGCATGCTTGTTTGCCTCACAAGAAATACAAATTAAAAATAATACTTGTATTGATTTTAAACCTTCAAAACAAATGATTGATTCAATGACAACAAGTAATCTGTATGACAAACATTGTAATGACGAGTTTTGTTTTGAAGGAGTGTGATGATTAATTAATTTTTTTTATTATATAATTATTATTATTGTGATTGACTATATTATAAACACTGTCTTATTATTTATATTATTATTGTGATTGACTATATTATAAACACTGTCTTATTATTTATATTATTATTGTGATTGACTATATTATAAACACTGTTTTATTATTTATATTATTATTGTGATTGACTATATTATACACACTGTTTTATTATTTATATTATTATTGTAATTGACTATATTATACACACTGTTTTATTATTTATATTATTAATGTGATTTACTATATTATAAACACTGTTTTATTATTTATATTATTATTGTAATTGACTATATTATACACACTGTTTTATTATTTATATTATTATTGTGATTGACTATATAGTATAATATAATAATAAAGTTATTTTACTATTTTACTCTATAGAGTCTATACTACATAAAAATAAATAATAATACTTGTATTGATATATTTTGATGTTAAACCTTCAAAATTAAGCGAAAAATTAATTGCCTTATCTGATAAGGCTTATCAGAACATGATAATTATTGATAAAAAAAATTGTATTGAGATACGAACAAATACGAACAATTTATGATAATTGTCTGAACATTTAACATGTTTAACCTGGCAACACTGGACGGCCCGCAAAAGGTGTCTGTTATCATCACACTCATAATCGAGAGTTTTCAGCGCTTACCAGCGGTTTTATTTGGCGTCACAATCTAAACCATGATTGTGTTTTCGCGGGTTATTTATTTATTATTAAAACAATTTTTAATTAATAAATAAATTTGAATGATGGATTTTCGTAAGTGCAGTGTAAAAGGATGCACCAGTAAAAAAAGAAATCCCAAGATTTCTTTTTTTAGTGCACCAAAAGCCAATTACTTAGCTTGGAAATTAGCAGTGAGTAATGCTAACTGTGAGGAAACAGTAGTAAAATTTATATGTGCCGAACATTTTCGACCTGGAGATACAATAAATACCTATTTGTTACCACCTGATATTCCCGATGTAGGTATTATGTACATACCTACTTTTATTTAATTTGTTGATTGTTTTATGTTATAGTATTTCGGAAAGTCAGATTTAGTTAGATTGAAAAGGGGGTTGTTCGTTCCATATTTCTGCTGTTGACAAAACGAGTAATGACATTATTATATCTTCCGTCAATAATTTGATTTCTGATCACAACTCTCATAATATCCTCCCTGTAATATTTTTAAATTGCAACTAAATATTTAGTCAACAGATGGCGCTGTAAACTCTCGATTTTGGTTGTGACCCCCCGCATTTACTTCTTGTACGTACTTTCGAGGCCACTGATAAGCTGCTCGTTTCCAGTCCATTATATCTTAGTCCGTGATATAGCGGCCATAGACCTTATACTATATAGTATAAGATCTATGCATATTATAGCATATTGTGTATTATTTTGGTTCAATGGTATAAGCACAGAACATAGACATATAATAGGTTAGGTATATTATGCTATGGCACAGAACGATGGTATAAGTATAATTGTTCTATGGTATTAGTAAAATGAGTCAATCATTGATAATAATGTTCTGTGATAATACCCCATTCTACCGCGGTTGTCAATAAACATTTTTTATCAGCAACCAAAACACGTTATCAAGACCATAATAATAATATATGTAATTTTATATATTATTATATACGTACGTAAGTAGTATGTAAACACGAATTTTTTAAGTAAAAATATGTGTGTATGTGGTTGATTTACATTCGTTTTGCCCGAGAATGTCACGTAAGTATCTTGACATTTATTCTTGAACTGCGTTTTTCTGCCGTCTTGATACCGCTTTAATGCTGCTGACCATACTGGGTTTACCAATCTCACCAACGCACTGGACCACTGCTTGCGTTTTGTGTGCAAATTGAACAAACTTACAGGAATACGATTTGTCTTCGGATTGCCATGGCGTATCATACGCTCCGACATGAATACATGCAAATGCCACCAGTCACCAGAGCGTACACGACAGCCTGTGTAATCACCACCCTAGCAGTGGTAAGTATAGTGTTGTGTTCAGTTTTAATATCTTTGACCGGTAACGGTAAAAATTCGAACGGACTCTTAATCGCTGACTGTACCTGTCTACTGTATGATTTTTAGCAGTTGGATGTTGTCTCCCCGTTTCAGTTATATTTCAATCCATTACTAATACTAAAACAATTTCAAGTACGTAAAATACAGTGTATGAATGAAGATTATCTCATATACCTATTATTAAATATTAAACTTTAATTAATTGCAGGTATGGAGATTGATAACCACTTTTCTGTTTTTTGGAAATATTGGTTTCAATTTTCTATTCAACATGATATTCACATATCGTTATTGTCGTATGCTCGAAGAAGGGTCATTTCGTTCAAGAACAGCTGATTTTGTTATGATGTTTTTGTTTGGTGCCACATTAATGATTGTATCCTTTTTAATTTATTTTTATTTATGTCTTAGGTAGAATATTTTAAAATTTAAATGTTCACTATTTTAAGTACTAGATGACAATATTGTTATATTTGAGAATACTTATGTATGAATTAGATGAACACAATTTAATGTTTGATATCAAAGAATGTATTTAGTTTAAACTAGATAATTACAGTTTCTGGAAAGAACTTTGTTGCTGATTGCACGTTAATGTCATATTAAGTGAGTGTTACGCAGACATCATTCCTTTTTTCAAATTGAATGTGTACAACATTTATATTTTAATGAATCTGAATAATTTTTAAAACATTGTTTTGCAAAAAAAAATGATAGGTACATACCGTATTTCAGTGTTTAAACCTGTGACAGCATGGCTAATAAAATAATTGAATTCAAGAATTGAGTTGAACAATGGATTATTTCATTTTTATCTATTGCCGTATTGCAATAATTGACTTATTCATTGAATGCTAAAATTGGTAGCATTGCTTTTAGCAACTAATTTAGCACGTTCACTAAATCTACTGATTATTCTTGCAATTCTGTATATTTGGGAAAATATTTTGAGTCAATTTGTCTGTGTTGATTTCATTTTACATAAGTTGATCACCAAAGCAATACATTGCATGAATTCATCGATTTCAACAATGGTTTCACAAAATGTTCCGTAAATGCATTGTATGTTAAAGTTGTATACACAAAAGGTCTTCAGTCATTTTCAGTATGTGTCATCATTTTGTATGTTTAGTGTGAATTGAATGTTCATATTTTCATAGGTTAGTACTATTTCTACTTGTTGGATTGTGACTTTAATAGTTTTAACTCTTCTACCTAAAGCATAGTCTATCTATTTTGCAAAAAAAAAAAAAACACCTTTATAACAGTTAGAAAGAGAGGCTAGTTAAGAAAGAAACATTCATTTTTGTATATTAGATAATGAAAGATGTTTCAAGGTGATAAAACATTGATGAAAACCTTAAAAATAAACATTTTAAACATTACAAATAATTATTCATCATAAACCATGAAAGTTTAAAAGTTGATGACAAAAATTGTTTTTTTTGTTTCTTCAATATTTTTTGATAGAACTAAAATATTTTACTAATATATTGAGATGATTAGTTAACATTTTTTTCTAAAAACTTAAATGTTATAAAAGCCAAATGCATGCAAGTTTATAAAATTAATAATAAATCGAACCAAATAAGATAAACATTATATAGTAATAGTTTTAAATTAGTTTTAAATGTGACTTAACTAATATTATTAGATTTGGGCATTTTTTATCAACTTATTATTCTTAGGACAAGCACTAACAATAATGTTGGTATATATTTGGTCACGAAGAAACCCATATATTAGAATGAACTTCTTTGGTGTACTAAACTTTCAGGTAATATTTTCATTTAATCTTATACAAAATTATAATGGATTATAAATGTCTATTGGGTTAACCCGATAAAATATTTGTTGAAAAACAAAAAGTAATATTTGTATTACTTACAATTTCTACACAACCTTCCATATTATTAATATTTATTATTTTTTCATTATAAATTATAATAAACTATATTTTAATATTTTAAGATAAAAAGCCTTGGTGTTATCTGAATATTTTGTGTACTGAATTATTCTATCATTTTTATTTGTCAACTTGTCAATTTCATACAAATACCAACAAAACTATTTTCATAATTAATACTATTTAATTAATTTAGAAGTTGAGTTATTTTTTTTATTTATCACCTAAGTTCTTGATTTCATAGAATAATACATTGAAAATTGCTTATAACATTCTAGAGACCAGAAAAATAGGTCATAATAACCAAATTGAAAATAAAAGTTATCTGAAAACATTGGTACATAATAATATTATATATTACATTTAAGTTACAAAATTCTTTATTATAAGATTATTAAACAATTAAAGTGTATTTTCCTAATTTTATCACTATTTATTAGTTTATAATATACTAAATAAAAAATATTTCTACATTCTCATAGTTGGTTTTTGATTAAATATAATTAGTCATATAATTTTGATATAACTGATTGTTTAATATTTTTCCTTACCTAGAAATATATTTTTGTCAATAATATGGCCCTTATAGACGCATACTCATTAAAGATAAACAATTTGTCTAAAATCTAAATTCACCAATACTAAACTTGATTTCATCCATGTGGTGATTAAATTATTTCTATTGTATATAGAAAGTAGAAACAACTAAACTTCTCTTCGAGTGTTTTAATTATTTAATGTATTCAATTTTACATTTATGCATGTTTTGATTTAATCAGGCTCCATACTTGCCATGGGTGTTACTTGGATTTTCAATTCTGTTGGGGAACACGCCATGGGTAGATTTGATGGGAATCGCTGTTGGCCACTGTTATTATTATCTAGAAGATGTGCTTCCTCAACATAGAGCCAATCTTAAGATACTTAAAACACCACTTTTCTTGTAAGTATTTCAATTTTACGGTATTTTGTTAAAAACTATTATGTACGGAGAACCACATTATATGGAAGTTAACATTGAATGCTTCAATTGTTTTATAAATATATCCAACCTAATTACTGAACCAAGATTTTAAGTAGTAGTTAAATGGATGTTAGTTACTCAATATTTAACATATGTATACAGGCAAACTAATTATATTATTTGTACCAATCAATCATTCTATATGTCCATCGAAATAGTATTATACATTTGTGTTTAGTAATGCTATTTATTTACTTTTCTTTATAGAAAACACCTCCTTGATCCAGCACCAGAAGAGGATCACGTGCCACCTCCGGAGTTTCGCCCAGGAGGTTTTAATTGGGGAGGAAATGCACCTGAAATTCCACCTGAAGGTCGTCAAAATGAATGAGTCAGTGTATAATATACTGTATTGTTGTGTTGAACTGTTATTTGAAAACTGTAAATAATAATTTTAACTTAAATAAAAATTGAATTAACCTATTACTTTATAGGTAATTCATATACATATTTATTTATTTATTCAAAAACCAAATTATAAGTAAAATGTCTATAATCATTTCAATTGTTTTTTTTTTTTAAATACAAATTTTGAGGAAATCAATTAAGTATAAACAAAAGTCACAACATTAGTAAAAACTATAAAAACAGTACAGGGTGCTTATAGAAATATGTATGCAAAAAAATGAAGAAAAAAATGCCATGCTTATTAATCATAATATCCGGTAATAGTTCACAAAATATCCATATATTAAAACTATAGGCATATAATTATATATGCCATAAGTTATTGTTTTTTCTTTGTAAACAAAATGTATATTTTATAAATGTTATTATTTACATACAATAAATTATGATACAAACGTTTTTTTTAAATATTTAAGTTTTATATCAAGTGTTAAAGGTACTATACAATATAATATTTCAAAAATTATGACTAGATTTTATAATTAATTGTTCTACCATTAAAATTAACATATAAGTAATTGATAATGACAATAAGGTTTAAGTTGAAATGGCTTAACTTCAAATAAACATAATTATTCACTATTTTTAACATAATATTCTACAACACCCTGTAACACACAACTTTGTAAGTAATATATTTGCTTTTGATGGGCCTTAAAAAAAATATATATGTATTATATTTACAACAGTTAATTTCAATCTATTTAGAGAATGCACGTGACAATAATTTAACATAACATAAAAAAAATTCTGGAAAGTTAAATAGAAAGCTATCAACAACACATTTAAACAGATATTTCATAGTTTTTGTCATAAGCACTTTTACGATCAGGACTTCCGTTGTCGGTACTGTTTCCTCTATTAATTGACATCTCCATTGCATCATGATCTAATGCCCTGGCAAAAGACATGGGTCTCCTAGTCTGTACAGGGGGAGGTTTTTTCTTGCCTACAGGTGATGGTTGAGGTGGATAAACAGGAACCCCTCCTCGAACTGGGTAATATGTCTTTGTAGTTGGACTAGTTGGATTAGATCTATAATCATTATGTGCTGCACAATAGTTGAATGTAGGGGCTTGTCGGGGGACATAATAAGAACCAGTCGTCCCAGGAGTATCTTTCCATGTATAAACACCTCTTTGCGGTGATCCTGCTAGTTCTTGAATATTGTCAACAGTATTATTTATACGTGGATAAGAAGGTGGACGCTCATGCTCACGTAAAATGTCACCTTCAGACAAAAAACGCCGTTGTGGACTACGTTCTTGGTATTCATAATGTTTAGCAGAAGAATTAACTCCTATAAAGTCTGGTCGTTTCACTTGAGTTGGAGTTCCAGGGTTAGATCTAAGATACAGAAATTAAAATAAAAATACTTTTAAACTAAATCTTTTATCAGAGAAAATGAGCAATAAGTATTTCATTGCATATATTATTTAAAATCTAATGCTGACAGCTGTCTTTATTTTAACATTGATGTAATACATTGGAAGTAAGACATTGTTCATTGTTGTCAATGACTGCTCATATTATTACTCTTAGTATTTTACAACGTCTAATTATTATTTACAATTTGTTTGACAAATAACGATTATAATGCAACTTTTTTTTTTTAATCCCCATAGAGTAAGGTGAAGTTAAGTTTAGTTGCATTCAAATAATTTATTCAATATGTGTAGGTTTTATTTTTTGGTTTTGAGATCATACAAATGTAATTGAAAAATTGTATTAGTTAGAAGTGTCTTTGGACATTGTTTCTCTGAGGTCATTCCAATTACTTTCTTTTTTATTATTTAATACTATACTGTATTATGTCACATCCACTAGGTATTGTTTGAGAGGGATAAAAAATATTTTTCTAGATTATTTAGTGAATTTAAATATGATACTTGCCGCCTTAATGGACTAGACAGTGTCAAAGCTGTGGGTACCCCGATAGCTTTCATTCTCTGCTGCATTGTTGGACTTTGCATAATGATGTTGGATTGACGATTTGGATCCATCATGGTTTCCCTTGACAAACTGTTGCCCATTTCATTCATTCTTTTACATGTTATAATAAATATTAGTAAACATAAAAAAATTAAAATACAACTGATTACTCTTTAATAATATATACCTAGGTCGAGATGGGTGAGGAGCTGTCCGTGTCACATAAGACATCCTAGCACTGTCAGTTGTATCATATGAGGGTAAGTAGAAATTGTTTTTTGAGCCTTGTCGCTGTAATGGAGGTGTTGGTTCACAGTCTTGTGACTGCGAAGCAGTTAATTCAATATCTAGCTCTAGACAATCTCTTCCTGGCGACATCTAGAAAATTATAACAATTTCAAATAAACAAAAAAAGTGAAATCAATGCAACAAGCAAGTTGTTAATTAAATAAAAAATCATTACTTAGAGTAAAATGTTAAATATGCTATTTGTCGTCCAAACAAGCAAAATCTAACCAGTAAAATACATAAAATTACTCTAAAAACCTATATTAATTAATTCTAAATTTAAAGACTAAATATTGCACAATATTGTAACTATTATACAGTTGTAAATTAAATACTATACTCACACACTACAAGTCTTATGTTACAACTAAGGCGTGGGAGCTTTAAGCTTAACAAATTTAAGGGCATCATTAATTAATAATGCAAGTATAAAAAATGTGTACCATAATAACAATTTCACCATCCATGCACTAGTTTTTGTACATTCAATTTCAAATAAAAATAAATTTGAATTAAAATCCTTCTTGTCAAAATTAAGTGAAACTTAAGAACTGACAAACAACATAATGTCTTACTTTATTATAATTATTTGAAGAATGATGTAAGCCATTGCTATTATCCAAATAAGTTTTAGCAACAGGTGGCCCACAATTATCTTCTTTTGTTAATAATGGCGGAGGTACATTAAAACTGTTCTGAATTTGTTTTTTATGTTTTTGATACTTGGAAGTTTTCACTTTCAACAAACTAAAATACCCAATTGTAATTATTATGAAGATTAAAAAATAGGTGATAAAAAGATTACCTAGGAAACTGAGGTCCAAATAGAATAATTATACAGTTTAGACGACAGCCGTGTGAAAATGGATTGTAACCACCTTTGAACTTCCCGGTTACTTGTTCATTAGTTGTTCGACCACGAGCTACTAATACAGCATGAAATCCAGTCAAACCAAATATTGGTATAAACAAAATAATAACTAAGCCACACAATGTTAATCTGATAGATTATTTAAATAAAGGAAAATTATTATAATTTTAAAAATGTATTAAATAATAAAAATATTTTTAATATTCTACTACGATAACTTGTATCTATATTTATTATCATTGAATAATTTTAAAATGTGAAAAATGTATTTAATAGGATTAAACTTATAATTCCTAAAATATTAATATTTTTTTATCTTAAAAAAGTTAAAAATGAAAGGAATCAGTCAATATTCAAGTTAAAAGTTACAAGTTGATTATTTTATCATGAACCACACATTATTCATTAAAGTATTAAAGTTTTTGAAAATACATTTTTACATGATTTCAAATTGTTAGAAAAAATGTTTTTAATAAATTACATAAAAATTGTAGTTATGAAAAATAGATTATAAGTATTTAAAGTATAGGTAAGTGGAGTAGTAGGCCAACATTTCACTGGGAAACCGCAGACCACTCCACTCCACTCAGCTCATCTAAACGTTAACTTATAACCAGGTAAGTTCATGCCCTAAAAAATACTTTAAAAATACATGCACTTCTGCCATAAAAAGTGGTTAAATATGCACTGATATGCATTAAGAAGAATGTAGATTAAAGAAATTAGCAATTTTTGAATAAGTAAAAACTATATATTCAAAATTTTTAAGTTTCGTTTTTTATCATTTTATGTTGCCACAATTCTCATACATGGTAAAAAGGTATAAATTATTGCATTTTTTATTAAACTGGTTTTTGCATAGTATTTCAATAAAAAAGTGAAAAAGTGCACATTAATATTTATGTCAAAATTATGAATATGCATAATCAAATAGAAAACCCAAAAATAAGCCAAATTGGCAAAAAAACTTCAGAATATGCAAATTAAAACTTTGCATACTTAACCATAGTACTTTGAAATGGATTCCTGCCATCTAAAAATTAGCATTGAGTACAAATCAGCAACACTGATACGTAAATGCATGAACTTATGAGCCCTGCTTATAGCACATAAACTACTTATCTTAAATTCAATTTATATGTAACGAAATACTCAAAAATACTTTGCTTTAGAAGATTAAATTAAAAGTGTAGCCTGTCATTCAAAAAAGTAAATAATGTAAAATTATAAAAACACATTGTTTTGAAACAAGTTAAAAATAAATGAAAAAAAAATATTTTCAAAAACAATCATACTTTTTGAAATATTGAAAAAAATATTGTCTATGAAGAAATGCAAGATAATCAGATTAAATTCTAGGCAGTCTCATGGGACTATTTACTAGATAATCCATTTTTGCATAACTTATTAATTCAAATAGTGTTATATAAAGGATACGATACTAAAGTATCAATGTCTCCGATTTTATCTTTATGGTATAAAATATACCAACAACAAACACCAAATATAGACGCCATGTGTATACTTAGTGATATAAGAAAAAAGAAGAAATAGCGATAGTTGCGGCGACCAATACAATTGTTTACCCATGGGCAATGATGATCGAAAGTCTAAAAAAAGTGTTATAATTACTATGAAGTAATAGTAAAAAAGACGTGTTTAAATATTACTTCTATACAACAGTTGCAAACACTACAGTGAGAACATCTTGGTGGCCTGTAAAATCTACATGTGGAACACCATTTCATTCTCACTTGTATTGTGTTCACTTCAGTAGATTTATACAAAGGCGACTGGAAGTCATCGCCGGTGTCTTCATCTTCTGGTGCTGAAATCAAATTACACATTTATAACATAATAACACACCAACAAATTACAGACATATGGTTGATTTTACCTTTAGGTATTACACCTGGATCCATGAACGTAGCCAGCGTGAAGTTTGCTATAACAAAAAACGTCACTATGCCATGAACGACTGGTACCCATGGATAAAATTGAGCAAAAAATCGACATCTATAAAGAACAAAGATATGATAAGAGCGTCGCAAGTCAATAGGATTTACAAAAGGGTTAGACTACTAGCCAGGTACTCACGGATAATAAAAAAAAGCCCCAGTTGTCCCCAGTAGCAGTATCCATGCAAACGTCGCAGGCAAATATTTCGTATGCAATCCGCATTTTGGCATTGTGGTTTTCTTCTGGTTACTCGAAAACTACTACTGCACTGCAGAAGTGGATTTCAAGCGTCATTCTTTTTCTGGTCGGACGGCGACAGACCCAGTAAGAGTAGTCGCGAACAGAAATAGTGCTGTGGTAAGTGTGAGCGAAAATTGAGTTCTCTCATATTGCTCGCTGCCGGTTGGCGGTGATGGGGCGTGAGTAGAGAACGTTTACGTCGGGACTGCGCGATGTAGTTGGCCCGCGCGTATAATATTCTATCATTGACGGGCAATCAAGAGTGACCGAAATAAATTCAAAATTTCACTTAAAACATTAAAAATAAAAATAAAATTGAAAATTTACACTTCTGTGATAATGTGGTTTGACTAGGCAGTGTTGTCAGAACGCGCGTGACAAAAACCATTGTGTTTAAAGGTTGGTATTCACAGTAATTTATATAAAATATCAAAAACTTAGTGTACTCAAAATGTATCAGTGCAAAATCATGAGTTCTAGAAGTTACATTTAATTAATTTCCGGTTAATAAATAGACTATAAATACGATCAGAAGATACTGATTCGGAACAGAAATGGTTGTTACTTGTTTCAAAGTCAATTTGTTCAAATTGAATTAATAATACATTAATACCTATATTCCGAAGCTAATTTATTGCAAGAAATATTTATTCCAACGACCAATTTGTTCTAAAACCTATTCATGTCACTAGACATTACTCATACTCTTTCTAAAAATCTTTGTTCCAGCTATATTTATTATGTTTTCAGACTTCAGTATTCACCTATTTTAATTTAGAAATATTTATCTATGTTTATTACTTTACATATTTTAAATACATACGGTACATGTTAATCATAAAATCTTATTCATTTTTTTGAAGTTATATGAAACATAGTACAATTAGTAGCCAGTAGGTATTATGTATAGATATTAGATATTAAGGGTATTGCTAGAAATTGCATTATGGGGAAGGCAACCACATGTACATGTACATTTTTACCCCAATTTAAAATTTCGTTAAGTATTAATATATATTTTGTTGGTTATTGGCGGAGGGCAGTTGTCATTCCTTCCTAGGTTCAGGGGTCACCAACCTTTTCCAACAAGTGAGGTACATTACAATTTTTATGTATATCTGGTGATCGGGTGGTACTCTTTTCGCCCAAAAATGACCCTTCGCTTTTTGCCCACGTCTCTTTTTGCCCGAATATTTTAATACTACTTTCCCTTTTCACCCAAGAATATTTAATAGCACTTTCCGACCAAATTTTTATAGTACACACTTTGGGAAACACTTACTTGAAATTATTTAATTATTTATAATATATTATAAATTTGTTATATTTAAATTATTTATTTGTATTAATTAGTTTTATAAAGCCATTTAGCGTTACCCAGAGAGTACCTACCACGAGGAGGCGGCTTCTCCAAAAATGTATTGTGTTTTTGTACATCAATATAATTTTTATATAATACAAGAGTAAGTTTTTATCAGAAGTATAAATCGTCAAAATTTTGATACTATAATATTAAATAGAATATTTAAATGACATTGATTTAATAAAATCATACCGATTAATTGTTCCTGCTTTATATTTTTGTATTTTTTCTTCATTTTTTTGCTGTCGATCTATAATTTTTTTATTTTTGGGACACCTTTGTAAATGTAAACTATTTAATTTAATGTAGACTTCAGTTTGAATTTCATTAATAACACTTAACCAGGCACTTATTGGTGGAGAAATATGATTAAAACTTTTGTTAAAAAAAGAATGAAAAGATTCACACGCGTTAATTGTTTTTATTAATTCCGACGTATTAAATGCCCAAATACTCGGTGGAAATAAACCATCTTCAGAGATGTAAGTATCGGTTAAATAGTCACAGTAATTTGTTAATTTTTCATTTACTGGATAGTCAGATAGTAAGTCTTCAACAAAACAATTTGATACTTCATCAGGGTTTAAAAATACTAAACCAAATGTGTACCGTATCCACTTACCAATTTCTGAAGATTCGTCTTTATAGAAAGAAGTTAAACCACACTTTTGAATATTTCTCCACCATGATTGGGTTAAATGAAATCGGCATCCAATTATTGTTGTATTCGGCCAGACATTTTCAATAGGTTTATGAATTGCTAATTCGAAATCAACGGTAGTGTTTTTTGGTGAGAATAAAAAACCAAGTGTATTACACTTTTCAACAATCATAGTAAACACAAATTCATAAGTTTTTACCGATTTATCAATGGGCAAACAAAATACTAACGGAATATAATGTCCATTTTTAAATCCATGTAAAGCAAACATTTGATTAAAAAATCTTGACGCATATTTAAAAATTATATTAATGTACAAAAACACAATACATTTTTGGAGAGTAAGAGAAGTCGCCTCCTCGTGGTACCCTCTGGGTATAAATAGCTTTATAAAACTAATTAACACAAATAAATAAATTTAAATATGACAAATTTATTATTATGTTGGATACTAAGATAGTTAGATATAAATAATTTCAAGTAAGTGTTTCCCAAAGTGTGTACTATAAAAATTTGGTCGGAAAGTGCTATTAAATATTCTTGGGCGAAAAGGGAAAGTAGTTTTAAAATATTTGGGCAAAAAGAGACGTAGGCAAAAAGCGAAGGGTCATTTTTGGGCGAACGGGGTCTTGCCCCTGGTGATCTACCACTATTTTTCATTAGGTATACTATTTATCCAATTATACGTAGCATAATAATAAATTGTATAATAATATACTTTTTTCATTATTTCTCCATCGGAAAATGTATGTTATTCTTCACTAATAAATATATTTATTTTTTAACCCATTTATACCTACTGTATTAAATACTTTTTTATTACTGATAGTATCAACCTTTCTATTACTAATTAAATGTTATGTTTTAATCAAACACACGTATTTTGGTTATAAATTACGATATTATTTGGAGGTGAAAAGTATGAGTTATAGGCTATAATTTAGAAAATTTTTCATGCCTAAAATAGTTCAAAAAGACGAAAAATATTTTTAAATTTATATCTTGTATAGAAAATGAACAAATAATATTTGGTGGAAATTTAAAGTATCTTTAGTTATACATATTTTATTGAGTTACTGTTACTGCAATAAAACAAAATAGATTTTTTTGAGTATATTTTTGATTTTGCGTAAATACTCCAGTCTTCCAAAAATTGTTTTTTTTTTTGTTTTGTATAGACGCATTCAAAATGTATTGGAAATTTTTACTTTTGACTCCCTAAATTCAATAGTAACAAGTAGATTCACTTTTCTACCAAGAAATAAGCTTAAGTAGAAAATCTAAGTATTTTTACTGCCCCAAAATCGAATAATAGACACACACACAAAGCTAATATCTTCGTAAAATCATTCATCGTTCCACTTCGTATTGAAAACAAAAATAATTTATGCTATAATATTGTTACGTGAATTGAAGCAGAAAGTGCAGTGAGAAACGGTGATATTGTTTAATCATAATCCGGTTCTGCAAACGTCCAAAAAGTTTTGTTTTTAAAAGTGGAGTTTTTTACTTTGTTTTAGTTGTTTTTAGCTGTTTTATTTTCCTTGAGTTAGGGACTACTCTGAATCTCACAGTGAGTGTTGCTAACTAATTTATGTTATATGAGTAAATATATAAAAGAATAATATTTATTATAGGTACCTACCGTCGTAGGTAATTAATTTACATAATAGTATAATGCTCGTATATTTCGCACTAACACAAAATGTTGTCCGGCGTATAGTATAGGCAAAATAGGTACATTGCTGCAGAGTTCAATATTATCATTTATGGTTCATTACAATATCTGACATGTTGTCTATTTATATAAGTACAGATTAACTCTTCGCAACTCTGTTTGCTGAGAGAACGTGGTTTCGCACAAACCAAAAGAGCCGTCTAGTGTTTTAAAAAGTTTTTATTATTTTTATTGTGTTGATTATTTTGTTTGCTTCTTTAATAATTACATTCTGTTCACATTTGCCGAATTCCTTTCCTTGAGTAATTATGCAAATATCATCGGCAGAGATAATTTTTTTATAAAGTTTGTAATATATGTCGCTGGTGTATATAGGTTGAAAATCTGAAGAGGCGGCTAAAATAGAACATTGAGTCCTGCGGGAGACCGTTGATGAGCACAAATTTGCTGCTTTCAAAATTATTAGTATATGGACTATGAATAACTGATTGGTCTGATTATCAAGCATTTTGATAAGTAGTCTAGATAAGGACTTATAAAGGATGACCTTCAGACATTTTAAGAGCTATTTCGCCACACCGTATTGTAGGCCGTGGTTAAATCTACAAGAACGATGACTGTTTTCTTAGTTAGTTCTAGGCGTTCTTCAATTGTATTGTGATGTATTGATCACAGCAGTGGTTTGTTCACACAGGTCACAGGGTTTATCTAAATTCTGCTTGTTAGATTGGTGGTTGTAATTTTATGAATGCCAGGCATTACCTATGTGGTTTTAAATAAGTCCATAAATTAGCTTTAGCTACGCTTAGATGTTTAGTAAAGTAATAGGTTTATTTTTTTCTAGACTCTATAGCATACAGCATCCGATCTGGTTTGCTTGAAGTGGAGAAAAAAAGATCCTGTTTGTAAGATAATATAGTTATAGAATTTCATTAATCAAATTATAACTTTATAATAACTAATAATTAATAACTGATGAGCTAAATGATAAAATGACAACAGCTAATTTAAAAAAAACATCCATAATATTCATTATTCTAAAACTAAAAAATATTTCATACAAATTGACAAAATAAATATTGTTTCTTAAATCCTAATTTACAACTATTGATTATATCTAATCAATTGATTTTACGACAAAAAAATCTATGTGTGTTACGAGTAATGTACGAAAGTTGCATAATGTACCTAATGGCTAATACATATTACCTAAATGTCCTATACATTATCCGGATAAGGCGGTAAACACTACCCATACCGATACCTATTAGATAAAGTAAAATATATATTATTCATTAAAACTTTTACCTCGTTAATCACCCCGGTAATATGACTCCCAAAGTGTGTTCCGAGGAACCTAAGGGTAAATTATAACTCGCTAACAGCACCCTAGGAAATAGGTTTACTAATGATAAAATGGACGTAGTCACGCAGACGTTGTCATTACGTTATTGATTTCGATTAGCGTGTCAACGTGCTAAATCGATACATTGGGTATTATGATTCAGTTGGCATATAGAAGTCATAAACATCATAGCAGTGTATTATAAAATTCTACAACTACGTTTTTATAAAAACGGGGTATAAGCACGAAGTATAAAAATTGTAATGCATAATTGGATTAAAACAGTGCGGTTGTTACCAAAAACATCAAGTTCAAGCACTATTACTAATATAAAATATTGTTCTGACTGCAGCGTCCTCATCAACGTCTCAACACTGTCTTAAAGATATTCTGAAAGATGATATTCCAGGCCCCAGGGTGTTCGGTAAGAAATTAAAAAAATTAGTTCTTAGGCGTTCCTTTTATTCTATTATTTTGGTAAATCATTTTTAGTTAATCATTTTATACCACGAATGACTTTATACGTAATTCTTCTACTGACATTTCTGGAAAAATATAGTTATACCCGAATTTATTGTGTTAAAACCAAGAGGAAAATTTTTAAGGAACTTATTGTTTGTTTGACTGCTCGATGATTTACAGATTTTTCTATCGGGACAAAATCATCGGGATAAAATCATTTTATGTACCGAAAAAAACCTGCCATGTTATCCGTGCTTGAATATGAAAACCTTATAGAAATTAAAAGTATCTCATCCTTAAAACATAAATTTGAATCCAGATCTTTAAACAAGTTTTGGGCTGGACTTAATCGTAGAACTTGACAGTGTAACGATAACGGATAAGTGCTAGCGCTTAGCATAGAATATAATTAATATTATTATAACATAATTATATACGGAAGTAGATAAACAACAATGACTTAACCATAAAGAATTATAAATACAAATTTGTTAAGAAAAATCAAAAAAGTGAATCTATTTTTGGTTGGGGGCGTAAAATTATGGTTGACCCAGGACTCAAAAATTGTAAATACGGCACTGGGGTTCCATGAAACACAAACTATTTCATATGGGTGCCGTGATCGTAAAAGTTTCACGGAATAGTGGGCAAGGCGTAACAAAGTTTATTAAAATAACGATTTTAAACTTAGTATAGACAATTGTTTTTTTATGCAACGTGCTCAATAATATTTAGTTTATAGCTATAGAGTATTGGAGTCCGTACATATTAAATAGGTACGTTTTAGATTCTGAACGGTTACGGAGGGATGAATGTATTTATTTTATTTTTTTATTTTTTATTTCTGTCATCGTCCTTTGGAGTTTGGAGCAATAAAAATATTCTTTGATTTTGTAATCATTACACCAGTATAGCACCATCGGCTTGTGTTGGTGCTACCGAGTACATACTCAAGAATGTCAGAATGACACACACGATTATTATATTTCTTCAAGTCATAACGATTTGTAATCCTAATTACAACATTTATACAATATACACCCCCTTTAATTTGGGAAAATCAATTTCCCACGACGGTACAGTTGTAACCATTCAGTACACATTTCATTTACACCATTACCTAGTAGCTTATACAATCGAGTTTTTGACTACGAAATTGTACCAAAAACGATCTGAAATCAATTTTACAAAGATTAGAGTCGAACCAGGGTGTGAGAAAAATATTTTTTAATATTTTAATAGAAATACAATTGTTTTAATATATTATTCTTTTTAATGCGATACTTATATTTTTAATTTCAGTTGTGCTCACGAGCTCACGCAGTCGTTGTGTACTGCCGCATGTCTTGAATTTTGCTGATAAAGTTAATTCGTTATTGCTTTATGGATACACCAGTCTATATGAGTCATTAAACAATTAGTCCAGTCCTGTCTCACCAACTCTCCAACTACTAATCGACAATCCTCCATATTTAAAAGTATCTAGCATGGTTTTCAATTATAATTATAGTTCACTGAAAGTCGATAATTTGTCTGGGTCATTGATGTAAACGACAACGATAACGGCCTCTCTAATGAGATAGTTACCGGTTCCTCGTCTCCAACTGAAAACACCACTCTTCTTTTCAACAAAATACAATAATACCTTTAACAATAATAAGTATGTCAATATGCTCTACAACAGTCTTTTTTATCAGACTTTATTGGGCCAGTAATAGTTTTAACAGAGTTCCGATGAAAATGCAAATTTAAGAAACCGGCATCCTATCAAGGGCGCTAAAAAATTAAAATCACTTTTGATACTATCATCAATGGTAACCTCTGTCTAAATTTTAGTATTTTGAAAAAAAATAATTAAAATGCTTGCACACCTTCAACGCTTATTTTTTCGTACGGTATAATTAAATAAGACATCACTGAATCGGAAACGGAGCTTTTCGAAGGTGTCAAGTCTCCTGTTACTATTAATGCTTTCAAGCATATCAAAATCAAAAAAAGATTAAGATATTCTACAGACTGTACTGTTGAGTTAAAATTTGTTGCCCCAAAAATTCCATCGGTTATCTCTGTTTTCAACATGGTTTTTGAAGTCAAGCCTGAAATGCGTTCCCCCGTTCAATGTAACGTTTCGGCCATACGCAAAAATATTGTCGCAGTAGTCCTAGAACCAGCCATTGCGATGAAACTAAACACTCGATCGAGTCCTGTTCCTACTTTCAAGCCACTGACTCAGTATGCCTTTTCTGCAGCTACTAGGAATGGTCTACCCAAAAAGAAATTAAAAAAAAATTTTACCAACGAAAATATTTCTTATACGTATAGACGCCGTCACCTTTAAGAAAAATAATTGTTATACTACTGCTTTTTCATTTTCTGATGCTGTATATAGCCAGACATCCAGCCTCTTATTTCTGAAATCTTAAAACCTAACACCTCTCTTCATGAAGAAAATTTCCCCAGTTTGCACAAAAATCATCATTTTTTTAACTCCGTAAAAACTAAATTCAAACCGCACCCCCACCAAACAAAAAATAATAATCCACTACCAGTTGAATCTTACTATTCTTCCCCAAACGATAGCTATATAAACATACCCTCAAACCAAAATCTTACTTATACGAGTAACTCAACTGACTTATCCTGGATAGTGGGTGCACACCCGTCTCTTAAATTATCCGAATCCCTCATAAGTGTACTTTCTTTACTTTCTTCCTTTTCTAGTTCTACCATTTAGGCCTTAATTGAATCATCCTCATATTCTCTTCTTAAAGTTCCAAACTCTAATTTTCCTGCTTAAATTGGTTCACAATCAATATAATATTTTAAATATTAGTTAAAAAAATACTGCTGTTTAGTCCAAAAAACATACACTTAACAACCACAACAAATTTACTAACATTATCCAATGGAATGTGAGAGGCCTAACTATTAACCTTACAACACCTTCTCTTTGACCAAAAAAGCCCAGTGGCGATTCTTTCTGAAACTTGGCTTTTACCTTCACGTTCCCTAACAATTCCGAAGTTCAAAACCTATATATTCCATACCGGATGGGTATAGTGACGTAGCCATAGTTATACACAATTCCCTCAAATACGAACTGTTCACTATTGGCATCGCTACTAGAAACAGATACAATATTCTGCACTCGCTTTCTTATTCTACCCTCACCAGTATCTTTAGTTAATCTGCCGAATTTACAATAACAAGGAAAAGATCAATAACAAATTTTTACCCACCTTCTCCTCCTTGGTGGAATGATCTCTGTATACTGAAGCTGTTAAAAATAGAATATTACTTTTTAGAAATTTTTCGACGCTCTGGGTCAGTGTCCGACTTTTATATATATCGTAGTTCATGTGCCAATACTACTCGTATTCTCAAATACGAAAAGAAAAACAATTGGAAGAAATTTTGTTCTAATCTAAACCCAACCTATTCTATACAACACCTCTGAACAACAGCTAAACGAATCAACATCAATCCCGAAATTCGCCCTGAAAACGATGATTGGTTGGATTTATTGTGCTCCAAAGTTGCTCCCTGTTATGTTCCTTCTGAATCTGAGTATGGCCCTATTTTTTTCTCCTAAATATCTACACCTCATGTTCTTGCCAATAATATTACTATGTCTGAATTCAACTTGGCTATTTCTTCACGTAAATCTACTGCTTCTGGTTTAGATAATATTTCACCAACTGTGTTAAAACATCTCCCCTCAAATGACCTAGATTATCATTAGTTATTCAGTATTCTTAGCAATATATTAATAACTCAGGAAATACCTATCCCTCGGATTATTTATCGTATTATCTCCATTCTTAAAAGAGTCCAACACCTCATTTCGTCCAATTGCACTTTCTTCTTCTCTATGTAAAGTTTTTGAATATAGGCTGAAATCTAGACTTGATCGGTGGTTAGAATCTAACTCTACCTTATCAGCAAACTTGTTTGCATTTTGAGAGTTATGGGGTAGCATGAAATGCCCATCAACGCTTATTGGTAATATTTACCACTCCTTTAACAATAGGGAATTTCTCGTTACCACTTTCTTCGATATTCGTGGCGCCTTCGATTCTGTCAATATTTTTACCCTCGTCGTTCATCTCCTCATTGAATATTTCCTCCAAATTTTGTAATATTTTGTCTCCCCTTTATAATTTTAGAAAACTTACTTTCTCTTCTCCTTTTTTATCATCGACTACTCATTCTACCTTCACTGGCCTCGCCCAGGGTAGCTGTCTCAGCCCAATATTATTTAATGTTTGTTTGAGTATTGTTCATAAGTATCTTTTATTGCTCTGTCATAAATGCCTTATTTATGCTGATAATTTAGTTATTTTCTCTTCCAATAAGTCCCTCAATATTTCCATTGATAACTTCAATTCTACCCTGAAGGATCTAAGGACTATCCTAATCACATTTTCATTTGAAGTTGCTCCTGAAAAATGCAAATCTATAATTTTTACTCTCCGCAGACACTTCAACCATATTAATATATATTTTGATAACAATATTATAACAGTATTATACTATATGTTTTGACCCCAAACTTAGTTGGTTACCACATATTACTTCACTCACAGCCAAGGCCGGATTAAGGGGGGGTCTAGCCGGGGCGGTAGCCCCGGGGCCCTCTCGAATACCCAAGTGAAAGGGGCCCAAACAATTTTAAGCCGATACACAATTTTTAATGATTTAAAAAAAATAGTTTTTCTATATTTTAAAAACCATTTTTTTTATCGACAAAAATAACTATATAAATAGTAAATACTTATAAAAGGACTATGGTAGAAAAAACGCATTTTACCACGCACTAAGACATATACTCGTATATTATATAAATGTTATAATTTATGTTCTTTTTATCTCTGTAATAACATAGACATATAATTAGAAAATAATTACAAGTCTGTGGGTACTGGGTAATATTGCCAGTATTGGTGGAATACGGGAAATCGCTCGTGCTCTAGTATTGTATGAGTATATCTTATCTCGATTCTCGATGCATTTAAGTTATTTATAGTAACCCGTAGTGCTTATGATATATTAATCTAGACGATCTAGTATCATTTTATAAAACTACTGCAAAATGCAAATACTAGACTAGTGACTACGAAATAATAATATTCATTTAGTTAGATATTTTTGACATTTTCGGTTTAATATTATTACAGACTTTACAGTTCACATTTATTTTGTGTGCAGTGTATTGTATTATTTTTCATATTGTGTTAACATAAAAATATCCGGATAATCTTAATTTTTTCTAAAATGATGAAATCAAAAGTTTTGAGTGGATCAGCGAAAAGAAAGAAGAAAGAGCAGCAAACAAAAAATATTTTACTAACTAATAAAAAAATAAACAATTTATTTAGATGCATTCGACCTGGTAAGTGCAAATCATTCAAATTATTATAGTTATTATTGAATACCTACATCAATAGTTCAATACATATTATTTTCAAAGCTTAACATTTTTAAAACTAAACTTAGTATAATATAATATACTTATCAATCAATAATATTTTGAACCATTAACTTGGCTATCTGTTTAAAAAGAAATTATCGTTTTAATAAACAAGAATGAAATAATTGATGTTATAATTTTTAATCAATGAATTAAAAAAAAACTACTCTTTTATTAACTATTAAAAATAAAATACTTTTATTAAATAAGTATTTTATTTGCAAATTTATTATATACCAATTTTTATTAAAAAATGTATTTTCATAATATTATTATAATAACAAAGAAGCCAATGGTTCAGCTGAGAGCCAGAGTGACATTACGCCACACGGCAATTTGTTGGACATCAGCACAAATTGTGAAATTAAAGAAAAATTAACTGAAGGTATCTAAATATATATTTTAAATAATTTTCTATCAAATAATAATTAAAATCATTAGACTTAAATGATGTACTAAAAGAGTTGGCTTCAAGTAAAGCAAGAAAAAAAATTTAATTAATTAAATAGTTTTTGTTTTATATATTATTAACTTAAGTTTGATATTTGTTGTATACTATTAATACATTTAATAGTTATTATGAAAATTTGTATTTACTTTTATCATACTAAAATGAGTCATTTTATAGACATAAATTGTACAAACCTATTAATTTTATAATTTTATAATGCTATTGACAATTTGTGAAATAGTTTAAAAAATGTATCGTTCTGCGAGCGTAGCGAGCGGCTTTGTAAAGCCTGTTTTGTCAAAAGGGCCCATATAAAATTTCAGCCCTGGGGCCCAATAGGTGCTTAATCCGGCCTTGCTCACAGCATTCGCTTTTTGTTGGTCTAACTTCCTCAGATCAATAACTGGTACCAGGTAGGGCTTCATGTTCATTATCCATTTACTTCTCAATTATTCGCTCTAAACTATTTATTACAATGTTTTCGTTACCGTAGAAACGTCTTGTTAAAATTATCACAATAATTGTAATTATAACCATTGTACTAAAAAATATTTGTTTCAGTAATCACGTTTTATCATGGTCAAATTTTGTTCAAAACTTTTTTGGAACAAAAGACCATTGGAACACAATTTTATGGAACAACAGTTCCACAAAATAGTCCCCATATTATATTATGATCTAAGCATAAGATAATATACCAATATCACAGTTTCACCTGTTTTGTGTTTATATCTTGTATAATATCTGAATTTGTATCATAGACCTATTTCATATAATATTCTTTGATCTAAGATTCTATTGACTCAGTTATAATGTAATTTGTTATTTTGTTGACTGTGTTAGTCTATAATCTAAGGTTTTTGTTATCTATATAATATAATCTATTGAAATTAGATAACAGTTTTGTTTACAAATGTTTAATCTATTCTGTGGTATAATAGTTGTCCGTGCTTACAATACGACTAAACACAATACCAGGTCCCAATGTCTCATTATCATACCTTTATAATGAATAACAACATAACAACAACTTGTAACTTTTTTGGGTGTGAAGGTAAACCAAGGTGGCGAAACTCAAATCACGTTTGATATTATTGTCTATTGCAACGATTTACGATAACGAAATTTAAATTAGTAATTGGTTATTATTTAGTGTTCTTTTTTGTTTTCTTCGTGAAATGTGTCTTACACTCGTTATTGTCAAGATTAAATAAATCAAAATTTTTCTTTTAAAAATATCGTTTGTATATCTAAAAAGATTTTTTTGTTTCTTACACCATTGAAAAAATGTTTTTCTTTAAAAATTTGCTGTCGGTTATTGCATTAACCATGATTATTATAAACTCGAGTAAGTGTCTTCTGAAAACATATTATACATTGTAAACAATTTAATTAATATTTTTATAATAATATCAGCTAATGGGTGTGTCGATACATAAGTGTTTCCAAATTCAGTATGGCCTAGGTGGGTATGTCAAAGTGGTTTTTGTTTAATATTTAGACATTTTACCTACGAGCGTAGTATTGATTATTAGGTTAGATACTCTCTTTGTAGTATAAATTAACCTTTCATATTTTTTAAACCTTTTTTAACTTATGTTAATTGATTCTTAATTTATTTTAAATTATAGTGGAAAATTACCCAATTTTAGTCATCAACAAAAAACCTATAATACTTATCATTTATTATAAAAGTGATATTAATTATGCCGTTCTTCCGTTCACGGGGCCAGGTGTCTAATTTGTGGGGGGTTGTTAATGCTTTTAATTGTGTCATTGTTTTATTCCTCTCATCACTTCATTGACTTATATCCTACTGTTAATATAAGTAAAATATAATTTGTTATTTGTTACTATAATTTATAATATAATCATATTAGCATAAATGACATAGTCATACTAAACATTCAAAGCAATCTAACCATTATTTTAATTATTATTAAAGATATTTTCATGGCACAATCAAAAAAAAAATATTTTTAGTTATCATTTTTTTTCTTAACATTATAAGTCTTGTCCTAAAAATGCAACATTTTTTAGTTCATTTCTCATGGTGTTATAAACTTGAAATATAAACCATAACCTTCCTATAATGGTCTCATGCAAAGTATGAATTTAGGAGTTGAATTTCATTCCTCTTCATCCCTTTCTATAAGTGTTATCTGTTGTTTCCTCTTAAATTAATTATTTATTGGTTAAAAATTTAAAATATTTTTCCTCAAGTTATGATGTAGATATATCCAAAGATTCCCTTTGATGTTTACTTTTGCTTTCAGCTTTCAACATTTTCATCAAACAATATAGAAAATGTACATCATGAGAGGTTGTGTGCAAAAATCCGAGCAATGATAGTTTCTTTAGCAATGTATTATTTCATTAGGTGAATACTAACAGAAATACATGTTCCCAAATACATATTTGAACATTTACATACACAAAATGATATTTCCTTCTTTTCCTTTCATAAATCATCTCTTACAATTACTTGTTGATAAACAAAAATTAAACCTCAAGATCAGAAGTATAAGATCAGTAACATGTTTTATGGCTTACCTATCTTTTTTTTTTTATATAATTGGGCGTTTATGTTTCCACTTCGCAAAAAAATGCCTAAACCCTGGTTGTTTTTAACAATAGTGCATATGTAGGTATCAATAATAGTTATAGAGTTTAAGACAAAATAGTAAACTCCCACATTCTAGTTGAAAGTTGAGACTACATCACTATACTATACCTTGCTCCAGATTTTGAAAATCTATTTGTGGTTTAATTCATTGTTTCAGTTGGTCCAATACAATATTACTCTGTGTAAGTATTAGATGTGGTTAGACTTACATATTATGTGATAAATAGCCATACGGTTGAATGAAATTTTTCCATTACACAATATCTGAAAATATAATATTTCAACAAATTTTATACTTGGGCACAATTTGTGATGGATCTTATTTCATTAAATATTTTACCAACTAAATAATTCTAATGATTCAGCCTGAAATTATTATTATTTTTTTAATTACATTTTGGGTGTTACATTTTTAAGCTTATTTGGAATGTTTGAGATTAAAAATTAACCTGGGCTTATTTTATTTTAAATGCTGAGGGTAAAAATGGTTTAAAATGTTCTAACTAAATAGTGTCATGTACTAAAACTCAGCTGGTTGTACCTAACCTCACCTTCATTGTGTTATAGGTGAGTCCTTGGAATGTTATGTTTGTACAAATCAAGATCAAAACCACGAAAAATGTTTGAACACAATTAAGACATGTGAACCTGAAGAAGATATGTGTTTATCAGAAATCAGTTGGGGATGTAAGAATATTAATAATTTTTGACCCTACAATGTCCATACCGACTTTATATTTCATTTCATGAACATGTTGGTTATTGTTGCAGCTCCACCATATTGGGTGGAAGGAGGGATCAAACAATATTATGTATCAAAGAGATGTGCCACAAGGGCTACATGTGAAGCTGTAAAAACTAAAACAATGCCCTATTGTACGTACTTATGGTATCAAGATTGGAAATGTGCTGAATGTTGCTTAGGTGACCGTTGTAATTTCTACATCACTGTAAGAAACTTCATTCCATAGATATATTTATTAAAATACTTAAGTAATAATGTTTTTTTGGTATTGCAGATGGGCAGTAGTGCGGTAAAATCCAATTTGTATGTTTTATTGGGATGCATCACTGTATTGTTTGGATTCCATTTTATCAAAACCGTAGTCTAATTCAAAATGGTTGTTTATTTATCCTTAAAAAGATTTTTTTTTATATTCTGACTTATTTTTTAATTATTTTAATACCGAAAATGTGGTAAGTTCAACTGTAGGTCACATTATTTTAGGCTCAATTTTAATTACAGTAGAAATTGTCAATAATGACGTTCAAGGGATCATGAAAATAGGTCATAATAACATAATATAATCATAACTACTGATAAAATTTAACATATAAATATAGCCTTTGATTTGCTAAAATATTATTATAATTATTATAAAACTTACCAATGCATTTATTGGGTCCTTTAGTTCAGAGTCGTAAGACCTGATATGTCACTTTTTCTGGTGTCAATATAAACAATTTCTACTGTATAAGCATTAATACATATATTTATATATATATATTACCAGTATTATTTTTAATTTTAAGTGAAGAGTTCCGTCCAAATATCATGTTTTTGATACAAACTTGTATTTATTTCCGTCCAAAAGTTTATACATGCGTGATGAATTTTTATAATTATATTTTAGAATACATTTTGTATAAACGTGTTGGTAATTAATATAAAATAATTTAATTTGTATTTTTGAACTTTTATATACTTTCTTGTATTAATTGTTACGATAATTTGAATTTAAATAATATATTATACCAGCCATATTTTATTTTTGTATTCAATTTTTATTATGTCTCAACATGCTATTAGAAACCAACTAAAATAATATGAAAAACAATTGATACATTAAGACAATGAGCTCTTTGATAAAATAATGCAAATTTCAAATCGAAAAATGAGTTAGATAACAAATGTGCGTTATCATTATACTTAAGTCACAATCTGCAGTCTACGAACAAAATGTAAATCTACTGATGGACATTGAACTGTTTTAAAAAAAGTATTTGTTGTATATGAACTTGATGCAAATCAAACCCTAATTGTTTTAAACATTAATATTTAAAATTTAAATTTTTTTTATTCACAAAAATATTAGTGAAAAATATTATGTCATATTTACTTAGAAAAATAATCATTTGGAACTCTACCTTTAAAAGAACCTCAACTCATTAAAACTTACCTACATTTGATAGGTTTTTATTTTTTTATTAAGGACATTAATTGAATGAATATATCAATAAAATATGTATATTTACAAATTCATTTTTCAATACAGACACCTGCACATATTTTTTTTAAATTTTAAAATGTAGGATGAATTTATGTGAACAAATAAAGATCTTGTCTTAAAACAACACTGTTTAAGTTTAACAAAATAAAGTTAAGTGATATGGGTATTAGGATTACACCAGACACTATATAATAAGTTATAACGCTATACCTGTAAGAAACCAGTTTTGTAAAAAAAAACCATTTTAGAGACAACAGTGTTATAAAACATAACAATTAAGCCCAGATAAAACTGGCTAGCTACAGAGTTTAACTCAGTTAATCAGACCATATTTCGGTAGATTAAAGAGTTTTATTTATTTGTCTTATCCATTTTAACGTGTTTTTGACTAGTAAAAGTTCTAAAACTCAGTAGGCCAGTACCTCCTTCCTCTATCCGTCACTGATATGCATTTAATGATTTTCTTCTCTACATGTACAATAAATAGTATAAATAAAGAAATATAACTACTCTTCAGATGATATTTGATTAAAAAATAATTGTTTAGTGTTAATGTTAATAATATTTATTTACCAACAATACAATATTTGATACAAACTAGATTATATGCAGTATTATAAGATTGGTTTACTTACTAAAATCTATGGCTATAGTGTGAATAAGGTTCAAGACAAAACAAACAATAAACTATAAATAATTACACAAATATACAATAAAACTAAATTAACAATATTTTTCAATTATTTTATATATCACATATTATAGGTACTTAAATAGAATATTATTACATAACAAAATCTTTGATTTTGACACTCTTTGTAGTGTTTAAAATTAAAATAGTTGTTACCAAAAAAGGGTAAATTAGTTTTAACCAGACATACAAAAAATAAATAGAGGATAAAACTTATTAAATTTAGTAAAGTTAATAAAGGAAGTGCGATCACTGGATGGTTTCTTCCTTTCACGTCCAACTGCTTAAATCACAATTTCTTATTATGCAAGGGCATAGATTGTGTATTTCAAATAAAATAAAATTTGTTTTTATTGATTTAAATGCATTATAAAAACTATATTTTATACATTTTTGAAATAATTAAAATAACAATTAATACAAATATATTTATTAAACAAAAGTAAATACCAAATACCTAAATATAATAGAATATCAGCTGTATCCATCAGTCGTCATTGAAAAGCAGTACTTGATAGTTGATATAATTTGCAAATAAATGTTATCTACAACAAATAATTACATCTATTGTGCACATTAACAAATAACAACTATACATTTAATTTAGTGGATAGTGGTGTCCCTACCTAATGACTAATTAGCAAATTTCAATTTTAGTAGATATTTATGTTTTATGAAAATTATTATTGAATTAAAAAATGAACAGATATTGGTCACAAAATCATATTGATTCTGTTTGTATCAGTTTATTAAGTACATATTAAATAACATAGGTACAATTACTAACTTATATTTAGTCGCAAACTTCATATCTAAATTTGAAAGGCACCAAAATACCTTAATTAATGAGTGTCTGGGTAATTATTTTAAGAGGTTGTGAGCTCACTATTTGTTTTCTCTCTCTTGAACATAAGCAACATAGACAAAACACATTCAAAATCATTTTCTTTTTTAAGTTAAATAGAAAAAAAATGTCAAAAGTTATAGAGAATGATATTTTTTAGGGTTTGACAAAGGTAGGTAACCTATTGATTTGTCTTATTAGTTGAGATAGCCCACTTTTTTTAATTTATGATTTTGAAACTAGTCTTATTTGATTCCTTATAGCTGGCAAGTATCTACAATTCCACTTTACAGCTAGTTTAATCGACAAAAATGGAATGATCATTCCCAACAGAATGAGCCGATTTCACTCTATCGTCATGGCTTTTTTTCAGAAATGTCCATCCCCATTCATCCGAGTTCCATCTTGTAAGCCTACACCTGGGATCCATAGAGCAATTTTATGTGATTACGGTTGATATTAATTTCCTCCTTTGAGGGCATTATCCGCCTAAAGTTTCTGTTTCATCAACTGCTATTTTCCCGTGATTTTTATAATTCAGCTTGAAGTCCAGGTCAAATTTTGGGTATTTTATACTCATCTTAACACCCCTTAGTAAGATTGCAATGGTGTAGTGTACCGTGAAATTGTTAATACCATGGTCTCTGATTTTTTGATTGCTACCTGTAAGCCTACGTCTTCAAGCCAAACTCAGCGTTATGTCCACTACTGTATCTAATAATCATATACAGACTGCAAGTTTTTTTTTATTTCTAATTTTTAAATTATTTCCTGTTTTTGTTTGTAATTACTATAAAATCAAAATATAATACATTAAACATTTTAAGTAACTGTTAAATATTAAAATAGTTAGCTTAATTGCTTTCATAAAATAATATAAAATAAAAGTTTAATAATATATGTATGTGTAAATAATAGAAATCTCAATAGTTTATAAACATACCATTCCATTAAATCAATAGAATTTTACAGTTTACTTTAAATGTGATTTTTATCACAAACCTAAGGGGCATTAGCAAAAAGATGTGGGGATTAACCCTTCTCCCTCTTCACCATTTCAAACGTTATTACGTTGTACTAAGCAAATATCAGTTCTAGAAAATATTAAAGGGAGCGGGCTTCAACCTCATAGGTTATACCGCTTAAGCATACTGCATACTAAGGAAACAGTATTGAATATGGTTTAACTAAAAGTAATAATATGATTACAGTTATATAGTTTACATAAGTACTGTCAGATCACAGCCTGAAATTATTTAAGTATTTTAAGTTGAAAGTATAATACACCTGCTAAATAGGAATGTAACTACAAGCCAAAGAAAAATAAACAAGTTATATAAAAAAAAATTTCTATATTAATTATATACAGTTTATATATCACGAATGTTAATTAAAATGACCATGTACAACATCAATTTTACGATTACAATTGCAAATTAAAAAAAATTGATTAAAATTACATTATACAACAAAATTATATACAAGAGCCTAAAATTGTACAAAATTCATTTTGGTGCAATAAATATCATATATACATTCATTTATATGCTTATCAAGTTCAATTGATACAAATACACATTATGATTTATTGATTAATTGCACCTCAATATTTTTATTTATTATTATACAGAGTATTTTCTATGAAGGAAAAAATAAGCGTAACAGTCACAACTTCACTTGAAACAATATCTAGAGTGAATTATCTTTTTTATGAAAAAACATAAGAAAGACCATCAAAATTTAAAATTAACATTTTCTCTTAATACTATTTAAAATTATCTTTGTTATTAGGTACTTTTAACATCAGCTATTATTTAAGTCGATAATGGTAACAGCCTATATCTAATTTTATTACAGATTTTTAATATAATATATAATAAGTATGTATAAATATACATAAGAAATTACGTAGGACATATATGAAATTGTACGTAGAACTTTAACAACGTTTATTAAATACATCAATGTAATCTACAAAGAAAATAAAAAATTTAAATTAAAACCATAAAAAGTTAAATATTGTTATTCTTTGACATACAACTGAAAACAATAATTTTCTTTGAAACAAATTTTTAAAGGGAACAAAAAAATGCTCAAAATTAGTCTGTTAATGGTAATATATAAAAAAAAAACCAATAGGCAATGTGAACCTAAACACAAATAAAAATAATTTATCTAAAATATCATATTATATGTTTATGTCATTTAAGTTGTGCGTGGCGTATGTGAATTAGGCGATGAAGGTATAGTCAGTACAGTTGGTTGCTGTTGTTGAGGAGCCATAGATACAGCAACTATAGATCCAGTTTGGCCTGATGAGCTTTGAACACGTAACTGACCTTGGCGTACGGACATTTGCTGACCTTGTTGAAATACAACCTGCAAAATATGATTTCATACAATTTATAAATGCAAACAATTCTTGAACAAAACTATTAGAAATTGTTTTCTTCATGGTTTTAATTTGTATCAAACATTTAAGTTTCTTACTTTTTGAATGACTTCATGGAATTTTAATTTCATAAGCTGAAATATTTATCTCAGAATTTAGAATATGTAATTAAAATTGTAAGTTGTCATACAAAAATGTAAAAAAATTTTTTAAAAAAATGGGTACCAGATCATTATGCAGCAGTCGGTCTATATGGGTTTTTGTAACAGATGTGTTAAATTTGAATTCAATGATATAACATTAATGAACACAAAAAGATTCTGAGCGAAGACATCTGTCAACCGACAATGTTACAAAGTATATGTTCTGATATAATTACTATTATAGTAATTTATTTTACCATTAAACATTATAAATACAGAAGGCTGAATTTACATTTTAGGTTACAATATGAACACTACTTAAAATAAACCATGTATTAAATTTTCAAGCATTAATAGCTAAAAAAAAAAAAAAATGTATTTTATAGAAAAAAACTAAAAATACATTGAACATTTGACCATGTATACAAAATTACAAAAAAAAATTTTGAGTATCTATGGTTAT